TTTTTCTTTTTCATCGACATCATCACCAGCATCATCTGCCCTAAGTTTTCAGTGCGTCCTTTGTATATCTGCTAGTTGGATCCGTTGGAAACTTTGGAAATTGGATTGCTTCCCGTTAAAATATATAAAGATTTATTTGCATCACGTTCGCTGCCATAGATTTTTCCTGCTTTTCGTGCCATAGAACCCAAAAGCTCCTGTGACTTTTTATGGGCTGATCGTAGAGAGAATGCCCATTCTTTTAAGCCGATTTCATCCTGCAAATTTAAATTAAATTAAAAACAACATATGAAAGGTACAAAAATTTAATTAATCAACTCTTATACGTACTGAATTTGTTAGGATTATTCTGCCATCACGAGATCCATCATTAACGCGAATTTGTATGCATTGTTCTCCTTTGTAATGTACGAAATCCGAGGAAATATCCTCAATTTGGTCCATGAATATTAGCTCTGGCTTATTGCTTCCGCTCTCCGAATACATCTCTAATCTGTAAGCGAGTTTTTGTTTAGTTATTTTTGTTCGAATAAATCATGGCGTATGGCGTTAAAACGCCAAAATTTAATTTATATTTTAAACAGGGGCAATAGGTACTCTTCAAACACCTAAAAATATTGAAAATGTTAGTCGTCCATCTACAGGCCGAGCCCTTGAATTTGAAATTGCCTTCGCGTATTATATATACATATATGTTGTGCATAATAACCAAGATAGATATCACTTTCCGGATAGGTGGCTACCCTAATTAAAAATATTTTCAAACCAAAGCTTTCCTAAAACTCTTTCGTTTGACACTCATATTTCAATATTTAATTTGACTTGTAACTTATACGGTAACTAAACTCGACCTTTCAAAAGGTGGCAACCATCTTCAAAGGTATTTTCAAACTAAAAACTGCTTACATCTCTTTGAACTGGATTTCGGTAATTTTTTTAGCGGACGGTGTTATGTATTATTTTCTTCCATACAAAAAAATAGAAGAAAGAGTGGAAGAAACTGCGCGAAAAAAATGCCAAAAATCAAGGCGGTTTTTTTAGCAACTTCAAACTTGCACTTTGTTATAATAAAATTGTATGGGGTATAAAACTGTGTACCTAGAATTTTTCTGAAGTTCCGTTTATTGAATTTTTCCGAGTTATGCACAAAGTTTAGAGATTTTATTTTCATGTTTTTTGTTATAGTATAAACTACATATATTTTTATAAAGCGAAAATAAACTAGAATAATAAAAGTTACATATATTGCGAAAAAGTCTATGTGCCAATACTTTTGTTCGTCAGTGTATACATACATACATACATACTATATAGGAAGCTTAAAAGAGCTTTGGTCGCGGGCAAGGCTGTGCCCATCACCGATATAGATATGTAAACGCTCGGAGTAAAAGCCCTCTCTGATCGTCACTGACTTATGTACATATAAGATCACTTCTTACCGATTTGGATAAAGCTTAGCATATTTGGTTTGCCAGAGTGATGCAAAGGAGCCACCTAATTTTTTTATATAACCATGTAATATGCAGTCCGACTCCTTTTCGTCTGCATCGAAATGCTGCTTTTGTTTGGCCTTTTTCTTCTGTTCTATTTTATCTGTTTCAATGTTAACGCTTTCGAATACTGTTTCGGCGATTTCTTGTTGCCACCTATAGGAAGAAAAAATATATAGTATGCATATATAATTCTACCCATATTCCATATGTTATCACAGAATTCGGTTATACATTGGTATGTATATTCACCTCTCGGAAATTGTAAGTGGAAAGAATTTGTATAGTTCCTGATCACTATCTGTTAGCTTAATGCCTTTCGTATCCTCTTCATCAAAGGAGCCAATGTCGAATGCATCAGCGGCATTAACCTCGCCTCTCGGTGGTATTAATGGTGGTGTATATTTTTGAACATAGACCTGGTGCCAATCTATGCCCGAAAAGAATGGATGCATCTTCACTTCGTCCGCACTTTTTTGATTTTTATTTCAAAATAAGTTTTAACGTTATTAAACACTAAACATATATATTTAATTCAGACTATTTACCCATTTCCCATGCATCCCAGTCGTTTATCTACCTCTCTCTGTAACAATGAATCCAAAAGGCTTCTTAATTCGGGCGTAAAACAGTCCGGTAATTCAACGTTCTGAAAAAAATTAAATAGTTTATAAACCAGTCATAATCTTTTTTCCACCCCTTTATAAACTCACCATAGTCAAAGTCATTCGATCGATTTCGTGTTTATCTTTTGTTTTGTGTTGTCTGAACGGTGAATGACCCTTAAGCAATTTATAAAGCATACAGCCGAAACTAAACCAATCGGCGCATGAGTCATATGCAGTGCCTTTAGAAAGCACTTCTGGCGCCATATAGCCGTGTGTGCCCACTGAGGCATGCGGCTTTTTTCGCGAATAATCGCATGCCAAACCCAAGTCCGATATGCGTATGTGTCCATTCTCATCGAGTAAAATGTTTGCCGGTTTTAAGTCCCTGTAGACTATGAAGCGTTTGTGCATGTGTTCTAAGCCCAAAATTACCTAAAACGAGACCAATGAAAATTTCTGTGGTTTTTTTTTATACGGTAAAATGTCGTCGAACGACATTACTTACCTCAGCGGCATAGAACTTCATCTCATCCTCGTTGAAGACACCATGTTGTGATAGATGATAATGCAGATCACCGCCATTCATTAGATCAAGTATGAAGCACAGCTTGTCAGGTGTATGAAATGCATAGGTCATGCAAACAATGAAAGGACAGTCCATCTGCGAACAAAATGTAAAAGTATAGCAAAGTAAAATGTTGGTAAGTACTATTTAAGTGGAAAAAACAATTTCAGATACTTACCCCTGTGCTCACAGCTTGCAACATAGTTCTTTCGTTTAGCGCCAACATTTCGCCTTGTTTCATTTTGATGCGCTTTTTATCCAAACATTTCATGGCATACATTTTGCCAGTGTCAGCTTTTCGACAGCCATACACTTCGCCAAAGCCCCCACGGCCAATGATTCGGTGAACACTGAAGTCGTTCATGGTTAACTAAAAAAAAAAAAAAGAAACATTAAATAAATATGTTTAAGGGCTTATAAAGTAAATTTTGTTTGACATACCTGTATATTAAGTTCTAGATTCTTCCATTGGCAAAATCGTGTGAATTTATCGCTAGAATTTGAAGAAACAAATCAGAGCTTGTCTTTCATTTATTTTTATTCTAGGACACTTACCTCTCCAAGAACTTTTTGAATGGCTTTCCTTTCAGGTGGTTAAATATCTCCTCGATATAAGGCTATAACACGATTTGCAGAATTGAATTGAAAATGAAATATTGTACATATAATGCTCCATATCCATATGTACATATTTATATTGGTATAAAAGCAATCTGAATTACAGTCAATTAGACTTACCTCAAACAAATTAACGGGTACTTCATTTTTTAAAAGATATTTCTGTACACTGGCTACAGCTTCTTTGGAATATTCCTAAATGAATACAAAATATTTATGTACATACATATGTATGTATGTATGTATATTAGGGTGTCTCACTAAAAAAAGTTCTTGGTTTTCTACCAGAATTATAAAATGTATTATACTTTAAGACTCCCGCCAATATATTTCCTAAAAATATCGAAATTTACGTGAACTGCACCAATCTGAAAACACATCTAAAACCGAGTTTTTTTTAATAAAATTAGTTTTTAAAAATATTTTTTTCTAAAAAAAAAATCACCTCAGATGATACTTAGAAGAGTTTAAACTTAAAAGGTCAGCGTAAAAAAGTTACAAAATTTTATCAACGGAAACAAAATAATGAGATTTTTGGAGGTATTTTAAAATTCTGAAATGTTTTGTAGGAAGTATTAAAATATAATAAATTTTATAATTACGATGATGCACGCTAATGCATATGCATATATAGCGTCCAAAATTCATTATAGTTAAACAAAATTCATCACTTACGTATGTGTGAGAGAGCATTTCTTCCATAATAAAATTGTCATATATTTCTCGAGCTAATTCTTTGCGCTCTTCATAGCTTTCGGTTTTCTCAAAATTTTTTATCTGTATAAAGAAGTAAATAAATAATTTGTATCCCTTCTTTGAGCATAATTATTTTTGTATTATTACATTATACACTCCGGTTCACTAAAGTAGGTCCATAGGGAATAAAATTAAAAGACTTGCAAATATAGGGGATAGCTGAACTGGACGGACAGCATCGTGCGAAAACAATATGAAATAATAAAACGGAACTAAAACAAAACGGCTGCAGGTAAATGACAGTAGGTCCATTACGATACCAATCTTTTATTGTTTAAAGAAAAGCGTGAGTGTTCGCATAACAAAGTATATTCAGATGGCTCTAAGCTTTTGCGGTCAAAAAATTTCAAATAAGGACATTAATAAATGCACAGCGTTAGGAGTCGCGACAGGATTTTTGTACGCCTCAAATGTTTGTTAGAGAGTGGTGGTTTTACAGGCGAAAAACTTTAGTTTTGTTTAGTTTGTTGTTCTTGTTAATTCGATTGACAGTCTTTCTTTTCGCCGATAAATGCGGCAAGGAACGAGCTGTCCTTGGAATATTTTGAAAGGCCTTTTTTATTAAAAGTCTTGCAGGCAAGGTTTTTTCCATACATTGGACTATCGGTAGTTTGATCAGTTTATGTGACTAAAAGTCGTTTTGTGCTTAAAAAAATAAACTTTTTGCCCTTAGTATTTGATAAAAAAACTCTGAAACCAAATAACGTTAGCTTTTGTATTTGTAAAAAGCAACGACAACTGCTTAGCAGGTGGTAAAAATCGTTGTCTGTGGGTTAAATATTGTAATAGATTTCGTGTTATTTGTTTAGCTGCTTTCAAACAACTATATTTAAGATAATTATCTAAAAAATATTAATATACAGCCTTATCGTGAGTTTCGCCTGCAAAGTGACAATCACCTAAAAAGGAAAATATAAAAACAAAATATGTTCGCTTCTTACGTAAGTTAAGTTGAGTCTAGACTAACTGAGCCCTAAGATCTATAACTGTTCCCACGACAGTCGGGTCTACGTAACCGGAACGACCCAGGTTTATATCTGGCCAAGGACTGTCACTCCAGCAACACTCCCCAAAACTCTATGGGGAACTTGTATGCTGCTACAACAACAACAACATCTATAACTTTTTTTTTTTGTTTTTTTTTTTTTTTTAATGTGAACTTGTCGCATATAATTTTTTTTCTAAGTGATATTTGAAAAACATTTTAAAATGTTGGCCGCATTTGGCCGTGTTTAGACTATCAAAAACGTGTAAAATGAAGAGTTTTGAGTTTAATCTGTCAATTTCATGTGCGATTTTTTGTGTTTCCTGAGTAAAAGGTTTTTTTTTGTAGCTATTTTTTATACGGTCAGCAGTGAACTATTTACCATTTGGAGGGTGAGAACTCTACGAGGAGAGGAAACAAAAGGCTATTTGCAATTTTGTTGCTGTAAAGGCTGCTCCTTCTAACTTTTCAGCAGACAAATTAGGAAATTAAGAGCTTTTAGGTTTTCATGTAAATTAATAAAGTTTGACTTTTTTTCTAAATTAGCCACTTTATAATTTTTTTTGTAACTATTTGAAATTTAAGCACACTTTTCATTTTGTTTAATAAAAACTGGCATAAAAACCAGGCTACGAAAGGAAAGGTAGTTTCATAATTTTTATCATAAAAAGTGGAAATAGAAACTTTTTACTCTAAGCTAGCGACTTGTTGTCTTAGATAACAGTTATCGAAGACTTATTTATAAAAGTCATAAATAAAAATCAGTCACTGAGTTTTATTTTTTAAATCATACTTATAAAAGTAATTTCAATAAGTTGTAGTAAACTTTTGTTTCCCAACACCTTTTTAGCTGCGAAAAATTTTAATGACTTTTACACGAATGATTTTAAAAATAAAAGTCGGTGACTGATTTATATTGATGACTTTTAAAAGTAAAAGTCACTGACTGATTTTTATTGATGACTTTTATAAATAAAAGTCTTCAATAACTATTATCTAAGACATATAATATAAAAATCAAAAATAATGGTTATTTTGGATTTATAATGAAAAAATCAAAAATAATTGTTATTTTTTTCATTTTGCATAAAAATAAATATTTATGTTCAAATTTGAGTCTCGGTGAAAAAAAAATCGATTGGTATGTATCACTTAGTTGTAGAACATTTCCTTCATAGTGAATTTTTCCATGACAGTGTTCATCAATAACTGTTATGTTCGGCCCTGGCAGCAGTTGATATGCCTGAAAACTTAAAAATTTACCGTAAAGAAAAATAAATTCCAGTTCCAATTACGAACAAAAGAAAATCATATGAACGAAATTTTTCTTAATTAATGGAACGCGAAAGCAAAAGTCTATATTTTCAAAAAAAAAGTATCATAAATTAGTTTCTTAAAGAAGTAATCAGTGAAGACTTAACGTAACTTAACCTAACTGAACTTCAATAAGAAATCATAAAACTATTTTTTCATTTAAAAAAAGGTTTTACAAGATTAAATCACCTGTTCGTAAAATTTAAGCTGCTGTATGGGTTCTTCTGAATCATTTTCGCAAAAGTCTTTGAACAGCAAATAACCTTAGAAACAATAAAAATTTTAAGCTTTTCATCCAATCAATATGAAAAAATAAAATTTGTATACGTACCCAATATTTGGTTGAATATTTTGTGGAAATTCAGTTCGCTCTCCTTTTCCAAATATTTATACATAACACTCCGGACGCTAGTTAATATAATTTCATGAAAATTAATCAATTAATAAATAAATTGCGTTAAAGCTCATAACACATTTTTTTTAACTAATACGCACACACGCACATTACATTTAAGAACAAGAAGATGGGATGAAATATTTATATGACATTAATATAGACTTAAATTTAATAGGAAACTAATAAAAAGACAAAATTGTATTTTCGTAAAAGCACATTAAAAGTAAAAATAAAATAATAAATGAAATCGTAAAAGTGCATCAAAATTTTAAAATTTGAGTTACCTAGTCTACTATTTTTACATTTTTTGTAACGAAAAAAAGTAATAAATTTATTGAAAACAATATTTTTCGTGAAAGTACGCAGTTATTTTTATAATACTCGTACGATAATGAGAGTACCAGATTAAAAAAAAAAAAATCAACTAAATTTCAAAATTCGAGTAACCAAGATACGTACACACATCTACATAATTTGGCATTGTTTGTTAAGGTTTCGAGAGGTGGTATGACATGCATTTTTGTTTGAATGAAAAATATTGCACTACTAAGAGCAACAAACGATAAACATATGTACATTAGGGTGATCCAAAACAACTAGCGTAACCAATTTAAGAGGACGTGGTGTAGTGGTAAGCATTGCGCGCTTCCACTCCGTACGGCCTGGCTTCAAGCCCTGGTCAATGCAACATCGCAAAAAAAATATAGAAGAAAGTTTTTTTTCTTGACAGCGGTCGCCTCACGGCAGCCAATGGCAAACCTCCGAGCTTATTTCTGCCATGAAATTAATGCTTCTCATCAAAATACAATCGCTGTTCGCCCTGTTGTATGACAAATAGTTGAACTTCTCGAAGTTGATTTGCATAGAGAAAACCAGTAAAATAGGGATTTAAAATTACACCACTATAATCCCTATTCTCTATAGAAAACATGCTTCAAAAAAATGGGCGTTTTCCAGGAACTAGTTTTAAAATATTTTTTTTTTTTATGACGAGATGGTTTATTTTGTGAGAGTCAACAATCTTTTGTAATTTCTTGTCGAAAAATGCGATATACATATTTAGCATAGTGTTAAAAATCGGGACAAACCCCTAGAAATCGGCGTGGCAATTGTAGGACTAAAATTAGCAAGATGCAGATTTTGTTGCGGAATTCGGCAGAATATCTCTTCATGAACAACATTGGTTTCACAACTTTTTCAATCCATATACATATTCTGGCAAATTTTTGAAATTTGGTTTTAATATTGACTTTAATATTGCCACGCCCATTTCTAGAAGATTCTTTGAAAAGAACCAAAAAACTTCCTTGAAAACACGTCAACTTATTACATGTATACAATCCATAAAGCCAATTTGAAACCAATCAAAAGTGTGAAACCAAATTTGGTGCCCGATATACCCGATATGTCCGATATGCCGAATGCCTCATATGTATATATATATATATATATATATATATGTATTAGGGTGGTCCTTAAAGTGAAATGAAAAAAATTAATTTTTTTTTTAATACTTAACATCGATACTACTATAAGACGTCTTCGTAGGGTAATCTGAATTTTGATCCCTGTGCGACACGCACATTTTTCCAAATGGGAGAATTTTCTTCTCAGTAAATAAGTCCTTTTAAGGCCATAAATTCGTTAGGTCAGTTATATTGGATTTTCCTAATGTACATGCATTTCAATATGCAAAAAAGTGCAATTATCTAGCAATGGATATTTATTTACACATTCAATCAATCGTGTTTAAAATTATTGAAATTCTTCCATAAATACAGATATAGCATGTATGATTTACAAGCACATACGCGAGTGCGCATCCTATTTACAAATTCATAAATACAAATGCACATATGTACGTACGTAAATATGTATATACTTTAGGGTGGTCCAAAAAAATACACAGGAAAATCCATTTTGTATACATATTTTTCTTGCTTGCGAACACATGAATCTTGTCAGAGAAGAGATTTTCGCTTATGAAAAAATAGTAAAATTTTCTAAGTTAAATGTCCATCCTAATTGTAACTGATTGAAGACTTCTAAAGTGAAATGATTTATTCCATCAAAAATTATTTAATCTTAACGATTTTATAGCAATTTTACGTTAAAAGATTTATGTATAAACAGGGACACAACATTTTAACAAATTTTCCCCGTTTTTCTTTAATTTATTTAATATTCATTATTTTTTTTATAAAAGTATAGCCCATTATCTAACAAATATTTTAAACTTTGTGCAAAAATTATAAAAATTCTGCAAAATTTCCATTAAATTTTAGTGCAATAAGATGCAAGTTTGAAGTTTCTAAGAAATTGCGTTAATTTTTGATAATTTTTATACTGAATGTTCATACGCGTTAAAAAAAATTGCCAAAATTCAAAACTTACGCTTCATTCTACCAAAAATTTAATGGGCTTTAAATCCGCATACACAAGAAAATTCTAAAACCTCTGATTAAAAGGTTGAAAATTGAGATGCCATTTTGCAGAATTTTTATAATTTTTGCACACAGTTTGAAATATGAATTTAAATGGTGTTTGTTACGATAGTGAGCTATACTTTTATAAAAAAAAATTATAAAAATAAAATAAATAAAAGAAAAAGGAAAATTTGTTAAAATGTGTCCCTTTTTATTTTTCCACCAACTTATATGGAAAATTTTAAAGCCCCGGCGGAACGGTTAAATATTAACCGATTTCAAAATAAAAAAATACGGGTCTCCGTATTTTCGATATTGTTCAATTCTGGGGGTGGCTGGAAAAAGTTTTTGACTACCCTAACATATATGTATACATACATATGTACACACAAGCACACCAATAATTCTGTGTGTAAAAATAGCTTTATTGATAAGCCACAAAAGTGCATGCCAGGAGGTATACATTGCAAATATTTTCTATATATGTATGTATGGGAGTATGTGGATGTGGATAACAACAACCAATCCTGATCCCGTACCCATACCCATGTATGGGGCTGAAAATGCCCTTAAGGCCACAGAGCGGCATGCAGAGTTTAAAATGGTGAATGTATGCATGTATGTACGTGGTATAGTCGATATAAATACATATGTACATATATTCCATTTGTTTTCGAAAAGGACATATACAAATTTTGTATTCTTGTATGCTAAATTATTAGTATGTACACATGTTTTTTTTTCAGATATTTTTTCAGAATTTTTTTTTTAATCCTTTGGCATAACTACATAAATAATGAAGAATTAAATTTGTTTTCGCCAGTGTCCGTTTCAACTCAAATCACGGAAATATACAAATATTTTTCTGTCTGTATTTACTTTAGATCAAACGTGGGATTATAGTTCTGTGATCTATAACATAGACATTTTTATACCAAAGCGTACTTGTTCACAATGCCCTAAAGGCATCGAGATACATACAATGCATGCAGTTATAGACATAAATATTTATACCAAAATGCCCAGAATGAAAAGAGAAATCGATTAGCCATGTCTGTCTTTCCGTGCAAACGACAAATTATATGCAGGTTTCCCCTCATGCAGGGGTATTATCTGCATATGTATGTTGGTATTGAAAATGGGCAAAATTGAATCATAAGCACGCACATCTCCTATATAATGGTATTTTTGAAAAATTCAAAAACTGCTAATTTCTAGTTAGCTTTTTTGCGGGATTCCGATAAATAACTAACTTTTAATTATCTATGACAAAACTAACTTTGAGTTAGTTGTAAAGTCGTGCAGGAGCCATGCAGACGTTATCGGGATTTTTTTTTCTTTACAAGTTTCTATTTAAATATCCTCATACAAAAATTACTTTCCATACACTTTTTTCTGCACTTCGCAGATTCTTTTTCGTAATTAGGACAGATAAAATAAAGGTCGAAATTTTATATTATCTATTGATGTTATGTCTGATCGAATTCAAGTATGAACATGTAAACAAATAAGCAAATATGTAATGTTAAATAAAATAAGTAAATAAATAAAAATATAAAAAAATTAAAAAATCTTTTTTTTTTTATTGATAGTTTATGTCCAAAAGTAGTTAGCTATAAGATAGTTGAAATCTAATACAGAGGAAACCAGTTGTCAATATTTTTCGGTCATTGCCCTTCAAAAGTATTTAGTTACGGCCAAAGGAAATAGTTAATAAATAGTTACCACTAATCGTCTGCTAGTTAGTTAATAGTTAGTTACAAACTAGTCCCGTTTCCTGCAGGGTCTATACATGTACTTATGTACTTGTGTCTGTATGTGGATTATGAGAAGTGCAATGAGGATATTTTGTTATGAATGCTGCAACTTAATGCAATAACAATGTTTATATGAACATACACAGTTCTGGACCACCTACAACACAATGCAAATATGTGCATAGGCATTGCATGTACATACATACATATATACAAATGAATGCATACATAATGTACATATGTATGTACGGGACTACCAACTTGGCTCAAACCGTGCCATTTTTGGCCCTATTTTACTTCTAATGGCACTTAATTTTTCAATTTGGCACAAAGTTCTAAAATGGTACTTTTGAAAAATAGTAATATTTCAATACATTTTTGTGAAATCCTTTGCTTGTACTTCTTTTACTCAACTAAAATTTTCCAATTTCTATATTGGTTTATCTTATTTTGCGTTAGACTTTGGTTTTAGGAATGTGTTTCTAATTGTAATCAGTGTTGCCACGAACTAGTTTTTTTTTCCTACCAAGCCCAACAAAAACCTACCAAAAATTTTTGAAGTATTTAAATTGTTTATCCAATGCCAAAATTATTAAAAATGTAGATAACATAACAAACAACTTAACTAAGTATAACAATTAATTTTACTGTACCGACTTACACACATGTTTGTCTCTTTACATATACATACATATTATTATTTTTATTACACGTGCGTAAAAAAATGTAATTGCCTTCGAACTAAAATACTTCTTTAGCAAACGTTTAGTGACTTTTGGCGACCTTTAACTTACGGATATTAGCGTGGTACCTTAGGGTGAAAGAATTTGAGATCTGGTGGGTAAGTACTAGAACGGGTTACTTGCAGTCAATGAACTTAATCCCCGAGTCAAGAACATCGATATATCATACTTTTATATTTGTAATCACTCCAACCTTAGGATATTTAAAATTTTGGTTGAAGAAGAGAATCGTTCCGTAAGGTGTATCAGTCTGCTATTTATGATACGTGGGCAGTCACATAGAATATGCTCTGGGATTTCCAGCTTTTGGAGACAGTCAGTCCTATCGTTGCCTTCAAACCCTTCATGTCCCGGAACCGACCCCAGCATTACGCTATTATGGGCTTTCAAGCTGTAAAACGCTGTCGACAAGCATGACGCCATTTTAAGAGTCTAAGGCCTTTAACATGCCTGAATATCCGACATTATATTTATTTTGGCCCCATTTGTCCTTCTACACAGAGCTCGTTTGCGAAGACTTCAGCCAGTCGTCCATATTTGATCCGTCTGTACACCATACTTGGGACCCTTCGTCAATCATAGTTGTTATCACTTCACAGCAGTCCTTTTGAGGAATTCTGACCTTGTAGGGCTTGTAGAAGGACAACTTGGGATTATCCAGGAATGCCTTTAGAACCTGCCTTTAGAATGACTTTCTTGCAGATTATATTGGGCAGTCGTAGGGCGCTCCAGCAGGCCTTTTTTTTCAAACAGAATGAACAAAGGAGGAATGCATGTATTGACATAAAGTGCATCCGTTGCACAGGTAGCCATGTCGCCTGCGACGGCTACACTGACCAGTCGGCGCAGCTTGCTCAAGGTGGCACACACCTTTACTTGCTTAGCTTTTGGCCATCAGGCTCTTACTACCGTATTGAAAGGCCAATCGGTTAGTTTTGGTCATATTCCCCCAAGTCTTACCATGAAGTCTCTATCAGGTGGACAGGACATATATGTACATAGATATGTAGTTTCTAGTTGAGTTCGATTGAAGTTCTAGGCACATAAAGTATACATATACCTTGGATGTACATATTGTATATCGGTAATATTTTACTTACGAGTCAGGTATGTATATTTACATCTTTACGGTCGCCGCTATACGAACACTCCAGTAAAATATTCGTGTAAACAAGGCTTCTAAAATGTTTGGATATACAGTACTGGTCATATCTATAGCACACCCATTTCAAAGTGATATTGCCACTTACATATGTTTAAGTATTAACTTTTGGGAATTTTCGATTAAAATACAGTTCATTCTCTAACAAATTCCATATATGTAAACCCAAGTTTTGAACTTTGTAAAAGACTACAAAAAAGTCGACGAATTTTCACCTAAATTTTAAACTTTTTCCTCAGAAGTGTTAGAATTTTTTTGAGTACGCAGTTTTATAGTCCATTCAATTTTAGCCTAACAATGTGCAAGCTTCAATTGGCTAAAAATTACCGTTGATTATTTAGAAGTTTCTCTTGTCACACTTGGTTCCATATAAGGAGTGTGTTAACTCCTGTGTGTTATTTTTGTATGGAAGAAAGCCGCAAAAAAATTCTAAAAAATCAGCGGTGATTTTTAGCCACTTGAAACTTGCACATTGTTAGACTAAAATTGAATAGGCTATAAAATTGTGTACTCAAAAAAATTCTAACACTTCTGAGGAAAAAGTTTGAAATTTTAGTGAAAATTTCTTCTACAAAGTTTTAAACTTGGGTTAATATGGGTTTCGTTAAAATTCCTAAAAATAAATAAACATGATTGGGAAACCATATAACTTTGAAATGGGGGTGCTATTGTATTGGTCAATACTGTACATATTTTATATTTTTCGCAAATAACTTTTATTGTCGCGGAACCTACCAAAATCCAATCTAGCCTACCAACCTAGGTAGGAAAAGCTCATGCTTGGCAACACTGATTGTAATGCTAAATGGAAGGAATTAAAAAGGATGGCACTTTTATTTTCTATTTGGCACATTTTGGCACTTTTTATTCTCAATATGGCACTTCGTAGCTAAGGATAGTTGGTAGCCCTGTGTATGTATGCGCATCCGTATATATATACATATATTTTTTTTTTCATTTTACACACCATTGAACTTCTGAAGTTTTCGATTATCAACTACTGGACAATTGTATACATATCTATTTTTACATTTTCCTACGTACATATGTACATACATATGGACATACGTACATTCCAACTGTTCGTACACAATACAAAACAGAGATAGAACTTTAATTGCAAGATAGCAATTCAAAGCAAAACACACTAGAAAATGGAAAAAAAAGTAAATAAAAAAGTGAAACACAAAAGAGTAGGTAAGTGTGTATGTAATTGAAATTTTCGATTAGTTAGTCAGCAATACGCATACATATTTTGTTTAGCTTAAATAAATAAAAAGAAAACAAAAAACATAAAAATCTTGCCATGCAGAATTGGGCGTTTTTGGGGGAATACAACCTGCACCAACTGACATACATTCATTCATATCGCAAATGAATACCTATTACATACATGCATATATATACATGGAATAGTATGCATGTTTGTGTGTGCACACATACGTACCTGGGGTCGGGCAAAACAAGCCTTTTGCTAGCTCTGGCTGCTGGTGTACATTTGGATTTCTCCATGGCCATCAGATAGCTGACGTCCGCCAGCACAGCTTCCAAATCCGCCATGTTTGTGCGTTGGACCTCGGTTCCTTCGTTAGGTGTACTATGCAAGCAAATCTACTTGCTAAAAATTCCTTTTCACTTTCTTTTCACAGTTCCGATTAAAAAATTTACGAATACGAACACAACAACGTACCTATTGAAATGGTACCGACGACGACAATCTCCCAACAAATGAAAGACGTTGCATTGCCTTACATTTTTGCCAATTCTTTGTTTTCATATGTGCACACTACTATGTACATATATTTCTTTCAGTATTGCACCTTTTCACATAAACTATTTCAAATCACAAATATGCATATAGGATAAATTAATTGTACATTATACAGCAGCTTAGCTTATTCAATTGACCACAAAAAAGAAATTTATATCTAAATACATATATATATTTTTTTAATCTAATGTGTATCAATATAATACATCCAATCAGAATAGGATACTAACTTCGCAATGTACCAATTCGAGAGCATGTACATAATAATGGAACTAGTGGTGAGCGCATGTCAATGCAGGGCTGTATTCGTAGGTGAATTTCCGCATGAAAAATGCGATGCATTGTAGGGTTAAAGAACGATGTTAACGTATTGTGGGAAATTTATGATAAAAATACGCTAGATATTCATTAAAAAATTAAGTTTTATAAATATATTGAAGCAGAGTTAATCGGTTCTATGACACCAATTACTTTAGCTATGTATAACAACTTATTTATTAAAGGCCTGTCTGCAGCTCTCAAAAAACAACTAAAAATTCATATAAAATGATACACAAGAAATAGAAAAGAAATTTTTTTCTATCAAAATTTCTTAAATCAGAATGCAACTCATAAGAAAAAAATGCGCGTAAATTTACTTCTTCAGGAAAATTTAATTTTTCTTAAGAAAGGCGGTAAATAATTATTAAAAAAAAAAACAAGTAATTCCTAAGCAAAAACCCAAACCGACTTCAATTCTCATATAAAAATTTAATTCAGGTACCACCTTTCCCTTAAAAATTTTTTTTTGGAATCGGTTAATGTGGTTCATAACATACATAAACAAAAATATTCCGATGAATTCATAACCCCTCCTAAATTTTTTGGAAGTCTGCTAAAAACATTTCAACTCTTTGTAACGTATTTTTTATTGTAGGCTATTATTGGGTACAGTATGACAGTATGAACTTTTTTCGGTACTTTTGTTATATGTACATACATACAGTGACGAACAAAAGTATTGGCACAGAGAATTTTTCCCAATGTGTGCAAAGTTTTTTATTCTAATTTCTTTTCGCAAAGTTTTTTTCGGTAAATATTGTTCATACTACAACAAAAAACATAAAAATAAAATCTGCAAACTTTGTGCAAAACTTAGGAAAATTCGATCATTAAAATTGTGAAACAAAGTTTTTCTGAAAGTCTATATTATATGTAAACTTGTGGTCAGCTGATTAAGTTAAGTGACATTTTGTCCAGTTTTGGTTACTTTTCTTTTGTTTATCTCATGTTTAATATTTTTTTTTTTGTTAAAGTCTAGCACATTACATAAACAGCACCACATAAATCAAAATTTCAAACTTCGTACAAAAATTATAAAAATTCAACTAACTTTAATAATTAAACAAAAAAATTTTAAACTTCTTGTTCAAATTTTTGTAAAAAAATTTAGGTATGCAGTTTAATAGCCCATTAAATTTTAGTACGTTAAAGTACAAATTTTAAATCGCTAGAAAATCGCGATGACTTTTTATTTTTTTTTTGCTGACGGTGCTAAATTAATAAAAAGCTCACAATTTTTGGGTGTAATTGTTAGTTTGTTTAATTTTTATAAATTTTGTTCGAAGTTTGAAATGTCGATTTTTGTGATGCTGGTTATGTACACTTAACTTAATAAGCTGACCACAAGGGTACATACGTTTGTAAGTAGAAAATTAAATTCTCAGGGCCTTTTGAATCCATTTAAATTTTTTTAAATGCTACTTTGCGACGATTAACTTCATTTGAAAAAAGAAAAACACTTAAAATCGCCAACCTGGGAAACCTAAGAAATTACTTTTCTATATACAATCCAGACTTTTAGAAAAATTTGAAATCAAAAAGTTTCAAAACACACGAAACAATCAAAAAAACGATGGTCCAAATATAAGAAAACTGCGTTTTTAGTTTTTCTCTCTGACGTCAGGAAGATTTTTAAAAGAATTTTGAAATTTTAAAGATATGATTTATTAAAAAAATTATTTAAAAAAATGCGGTGCTAAGTAAAATGCCAATAGAGGCACCAAATGAAAGATAAGTCTGTAGTAATTAAAAAAATATATATATTTTTTTTGGGTGACAAGGACTAACGGTAAATCCCCTTTTTTTTATTTTTTTTTTATTTTTTAAGCTAATATGTACGGATAGAAGGGCGAAATTCTAGGATGTGGTGGTGTATATATTAGTCTTTATATACAGGCACTAAAACAAATGACCATGTGTTGACCTTTTTTAAATATCCATAATATTTTTCTGTTATGTTATTTTTCTATAAAAATTTATTTATTTATTTATTACAAACTGAAGCTTACAATTAAAATTATAAGCCTAGTAAGGAAAGCTATGGCTGCTATGGCCTTCAGCTTCTTCTTTGATGTATAAATAGAGCTTTATACTAAGTGATTATAAGTAGTTTAGTATTTCATTCTAAATTTTCAGATGCGATATATTTATTGGATATATTTATTTAAGTTTTGTAATATAATTTGGATATTTTTAAGAAAGCTATAATTTGATTAATATTATCGATTGTGGGGTTGAAAATGCATTGAACGGGGTCGGTGTTATGAAATATATGGTTTCTTAGTGAATTGAAGGAATAACAATCTGACACAACGTGATTAATGGAGATCGGGGCGGAGTTACAAAACTAACATGTTCTGGGGGTATTGTTGTCTATAAGGTGAAGATGGGTTAATTTTGAATGGCCCAGATGAAGTCGTGCGAGTTTAATAAAATCCATTCTGGAAAGTGATGGGTCGGCATGGTTTGCGAGGTTGCTTAAGTGAAGCCTCTGTACATTTTGCGCTTTGTACCAAGTTGAGCATTTTTGCCAAGTCTCAGATTTATATTGTTTTATGAATTTCTTCTTGAGAAATTCAACTATGTCATTAACACTTAGATTAGTAGTTGTTAAGACAGAAGCTATGCTATGGTGGCGTATTTTGATGTGCTATCAGCAAGTTCGTTACCCTTTATACGGGCATGGCCCGGGGACCATATCAGTAAAATGTTTGGGTGTTTTTTTTGTAAAATACTACGAATAAAACTCGGATAGTAATCATTATTTTCGATATTGGATATAAAAATAAGCTTTAACCAAAAGCATATAAATCACAGTTTCAAACTTTATAAAAAATTTAAGAAAATTCAGCAATTTTCCATCAAAATTTCAAATCTGAATCTTTAAAACATTTTTGGGTATGCAGTTTTATAGCCCATACAATTTTAGTCTAATGAAGAGCAAGTTTCAAACGGCTACAAAATTCCGTTGATTTTTCTAAAATCTAATTCAACCGTATTTTTTAGCCATTTGAAACTAGTACTGAGTTCAATGGGCTAAAAAACTGAATACTCACAATCTTTCTGGTAAATCTTATAAAAAAAGCTCGAAATTTCTACAAAAGTTTGATTTATTTTTAATATGGCATAAAGTTTGAAACTTGGATTTACACGGGTTTTGTTGAAGAATAAACTATATTAAAATAAAAAAAAAAAATTAATAATAATAATAGATTGGCGCTTACACACTCGGAGGTTTGCCATTGCCTGCCGAAATATTATAAAAAATTAACCAATATTAAATATCAAAAAAAAAAAATTATGTTAAAACTTGTCAAAAAGTTGTGCGGCTATAATTTTTTTATGGGCAAAAATACTATGAGACCCCCGAAAACGAGTTTTGATCCTAAATCCAAATTTTGAGGGCAGATATATTTGGGATTTTGAGTATACAGTTTTTTATTGCCCAACTAGGCCAAAATATGTGCTATGTGACATTCCAAGTTAAGCAATTTTTTTTGTTAATTTTGTTACGTTGTGTTATTATCGGGTTTCTGAAGGTGTGGTAAGCGCCGTACTACGACAATAATTAATATAGATATTCTGCCGAAATCCACAATAAAATCTGCGTTTTGTTAACATTAGTACTGCAATTAAAACAATAAAATTTGAAGTTTTGCAAAACCCCGATTTTTAACACAATGCTAAATATGTATGTATCATCATAAGTTTTCGAAAACAAATTACAAAAAATTGTCGATTCTCACAAAATAAACCATCTCGTCATAAAAAAAAAAAATAAAACTAGTCCTGTAAAAACGCCCATTTTTCTGAAACATGTTTTTTATAGAGAATTAAACAAGAATTACAAGAATGAATAGTGTAATTTTAAATCCCTAATTAACTGGTCTCCCCACTATGAAAATTTAAAAAAACAACTGTTAACAGCTATGTTAGCTTTAGGACAATCATCTTATATATAGGAATGTTAAGACCGTTTCTTTAACTTTTAAACGACGTTAAGATAAAGTCTCTACGATGAGCGGAAGTACATGATTAGTCAGAATCCGAAGACAAAAAAAGAAAAAAAAAATCATTGAATACGTGTTAGCTTATTTCATGTATAGACCCATAAAAAAATTGTATTCATTTTTTGTTTGGTACTAATATCTATTAAAATAGAAAAAAAAGTAGTATCTAGTTAAAAACTAAAATTTTTTAGTTAATCAAAATTTTTGCAACCTCCCATAGAACAGGCAAATTAGGAAATTTGAAAGATAAATTTGGCAATTTATAATTGCATATTTTATTTAATATAAAAAAAAAATGTGGTTTATTCACGGATTAGTAAAAAAAATGTATTATAAAAGAAATTAATTACATGTAAAAAAAGTTTAAGTCTGTCTAACCTCTAAATAATACCAGATTTAAAAAAACAGCAAGTTAGTAATAAAAAGTTGTATATTTTACTCCGCCCAGTTTATGGCTCTCGCTTACAGAAGGCATTCCGAGGCACCTTCCAAACCTAACCTAACACTACTGAAATAAAACTCCATGCATATTATTTAGTTTAATTGTTTTTAGCATATTTCTATATTTCAAATTTACGGATAATACCATGCAATTAAATTAATTAATTTAAAACCTTTCTGTGGCTGTACGATGATATTACATTTTTCTTATAATAACTACAATATTTATAATTTGTGATGCCATTGATTATGTTGTGCACCATTCTGAGGATAAACGGACGAGTGTACCGGATTACATTGCTCATTTATAGATGTTGGTCCAATCAATGGAGACCAATGCATTTGGTAGGGATTCGTTCCGATTGGCGCAGACGAACCATTGCCATACGAATTGGCAAAAGGTGAAAAATAATGCGGATGGTTGTATGAACTATAGGCAGCATAGTCGGGAAAATGTGTCGAATAATCACACGGCGCGGGCACAT